AGAAAGCTGAAAAATTTGGTCGATAGCGATCTGGTAGAAGCTCGAAATGCTCAAGTTTTGCCTTTCCTTCTGCGTTTTTTGCAAAAAAAAAAGCACACATATTACCGAAAGGTTGTATGTGTGCGTGTGTGTGTGTGTGTGTGTGTGTGTGTATGCGTTGTGTGTCTATGTATATGCATGAAACAGTTTAACTTCGAGACTAAGAAAATTGAGAAGCTAGAATTTTGCGGACGAAAATCATGACCGTAAGTATGACTTCGAACTCTAAGTTAACTTTTTGGTCGCTTTTTACATGAGCTTTCCCTTATCCAAGTTTTATGACTCTGTTATAAAAAAATTCCAGATATGAGATTTCGACATTAAACCTGCAGTTACAGACAAAGCGAGGAATACAAAATGAGTTTCCCGCACACTCTGTGTTCTATCTTTCATCTCATATCAAAACTCAAGCTGTTCTTGTGAGTTTGGAAAGAAATGTGAGGGGAAGACTTGAAATTTTCGTTCCACGTAGGATTTTAGCCTTTAATTTTCGAGCATCAGTTGAGAGGTCAAAAGTCAGACTTCAAAGGACCGACATCAATGATCTTGTGCTAAGTTCCGGTTTAATTTTGCCAGTTCAAGGCGGAAGGAGCTGTAAAGCCGAAATCTTTGGATTTGAATCAAAACATGGTGCAGAGGGAATGGTCGGAAAGTCTTCATGTGTAGCCGGCGCTGAATCGTATCTGAACGTCAAACACTGATTATTCATCATGCTGTTTGTCGTTTGAATGACAACTCATCGAATAAAAAAGAATTGCCTCTGAAAACGCATCATTTCACGGGGCCGTAACTATGCGTTGTTTTGAATTCTGCTCAAATCTTTTTTACTTTTGACAGACTAATTATTTTTAGGGCTTAGCTTGATCCATGTAGCGGTGTGCAAGGAGCGACACGAAATTGTCGAATATCTCGCAAGTGCGTTCCCAAAAAGCGTCGATATTTTGGACGTGGTGAGTTTTTTCTTTTCAGAGACGATCGCCGATCGGGTACCATTGCAGTTCTCCCTGTCTTAAAAGAGCCGACAAAATAAAAAAATTTTGAATTTTCAGAACGGTCGAGCAGCAATACATTATGCCGCAATTCAGCAGAATGCAATTTATGATACTCTGATCGACTGCGGGGCGAACGAATTGCTCGCCGATCGGGTACCAATGCAGTTCTCCTCTTCGTTCCCTTAGTTCAGACAGAAGTTTGTTTAGAAAGCATGGGCGCCCTTTTTTTTGGCTGCGCTGCCAGCAATCATTTGCATGTGTTTCGATCTTTCGAGCCTCTTTTAAGAAGGAATAGCCATAATAACAAAATTTTAGACTGGCCTAACAGCAGCTCAGTATCGTGAAAATCCCCGAACCACGCTATCAGTGCCGTCACCTCTAATGTCTGCCGCAGCTGGACTCACTTTCAATCGATTCTTGCTTGACGAAAATTTGTATGACCCCGGTAATGCTAACTTTTCTTCGCAATTTTTAAGTAAAGCATTTTTTGAAAAAAAAGTCGTATTTTCTATGCTTTCGCACTGACAGGTGAATTGTGGCAGTTTTTCGCGGTCTTTCGTATTAGAATCTTTACAAATTTTACCACCCCTTTCCAAAAAATAAGTAAAGCAACTGGTCAAAAAATCCTAATTCACGCGTCAAACACGTGCCTAAGAAGTAATCACACTTATTAATGTGCTTTCAAAACACATTCAATTTACCGTTAACTTAAAAAAAAATAAGCTAATCAGTTTCTTGAGTTAATCCTAAAGCGCATGGAACTCAATATCACTCAGCAATCTGCTGAACAATTATTCCTCACTAGTGATTTATTATTTATTTAGTAACAATAAGCCACTTGTGAGGAAAAGTTTTTTGAATAACTATTACATTCACAAGTCAAAAACTCCTCCGTATTCACTCCCAGTGAAAGGTAAATGTCTCGGAAACAGCTCGAATAACAGCAACTGCCAAAGCAACCGCTTCCTGGTAAAATTGTCGATGTTTCTTTCGAAGCAAGCTGTTAGCGGTTCATAGAGCTATAATGCATAAAAAAAGTAAAGATCTACCATATTCAAAAAAAACATAAAAATGAGAAAATTTTTCAAACAATATCGGCGAATGATTACAATAATAATACACTGATGAAGTTTATTTTGGATGCTCCAAGTGAGAGCGACCTGAATCAGTGGCTTCTGGAAGGTAACGTTGATCAGCTGGAGCAAGTTCTTCTGGATGGACGTGGTCATTTGCTGGCTGACCGAACTTCTACCATTGAAGCTGTGAACGAATTTCTCAATGGAATACCCAAATATCAGGTTCTCTTAGTGATCAGTTTAGTCTTATTCTTCCAGTACATATTTACTACATGGATTTTACTTGACAGTTTGTAAAACTGCAGAATTCGTAAGAATTACTTGCCAAAAGCAGAGTGCCTCCACGGGATGGCAGTTTGTCAAAGCCAAACATTATCATTGATGCACGTCTGAAACCTTGCTAAAAATTTCTTGAAATTATAATTTCTCATTTTGAGAGCAAAATCGACGCCATTCACAAGGCCGTAGAAGAGGGAGACGTACGTCGCGTGAAGTCTCTGATCGATCGCGAGCAGCTTTCGACAGCTCGCAATAAATATGGTAATTCCGTCTGGCCCAGTTTCCTCACTAAAGACAGTTTGTTTTTGCAGTAGCAAGAATTTGAATGTTATTTGCAGGAATGACTCCACTGCACACCGCTCTGCTGCATGGACAGACAAATACAATACGATACTTGTTAGCTAAATATCCCTCTTGCGTCAATGCCGTCGATCATGTAATTATTGTTATTGCCATCATTGTTACTGTTATCAATATTATTATTTCTATTATTGTTAATGTCATTATTATAATTGTTTCTGTTATTATTAAAATTATTATCATTATTTTTAAAAATATTTACCACTAAAAGATCAATCACAAGATCCTCATTTTTCGTCAAATTCTATATTGAAAACAAATTTAATAGAGCATCTAGAATCTCTAATAATTTTATTGAAAAGCGAGGAACATATGTACAAATTAGTGTC